TTCTATCCTCTAAACATGTTATTAATAAACTATAATAGTCTAATCAAAAAGATTTAATTAGCATTGATATTTTTTAGCATAATCAATTAATTCTTAAATATCTTTGATAAAGTTAATTTGGTTTTTGTAGTTTTCATCCTTTTAACCACATTTTTAAATTTCTTATATCATATCAGTTAATTAAATAATTAAACTCTTTTCAACTATAAACAATTTAATAAATTTATACTTGTAATATCCTTTAGTATATCCAATGATGTTTAAATATCTTGTTAATCATATTATTGTAAAGATTCTAAATGATATTAAATATCTTTTTTGAAAATTGAGTCTTTATTAATTTAATTTGTAATTATTTGGCTTTATGATACTTTTTCTTTTTCCTTATCAATTAACTACTTTAAATCCTTCAACAATTATTCATCACCTAATGCTTAAATTGATATCTTTTTTATTTAATTTGATTAATTAGTTTTATCCATGCATAAAAATTATTCAGAAATTAATTTATCACTGATTTCATTCAATTTTTTATTGTAATTCTTTCTCATTAATGCTATTTAGTTAAATAATTCAGATTTTTTTTCTTTGCTTTCATTTTTGTATTCCTTTAAAATCCTATCTGTTTCTGTGTTATAATCCTTCCATTATTTATCAACATTTTCAATTGTTTAATACTTTGTATTTGGATTCTCAGAAATGCAATCAACGCATACAAATCTATCTTCAATTTTTTTCTCTTAAGAGTCCATATCAATCATAATTATTTCCTTTTTATGATTGCTACAAATTCTACTTAAACTTGGTGTTTTCTATTTATATTATATATAAGATACCGAATCATTTTTGACTATAAATTAAGGAATTAATTCAATTACATTATTTTCCATAATGTCTTTAATTTTTTCTTTTGTACTCTTAAATGTATCTAACGTCGAAAAGTATTCAGAGTTATTAAATAAAAGTTCAAATTGTCTTTATATTTCATTAACAAAATGATTATCCTCTATTAATTTTGGGGATTTCTATTATTCTTAAGAATACAATTCAGATAATTATTTTATATCCTCAAAGTAATTTAGTTATTATTCATATTCTTATAATTCTTATTTTTCTTTTTAAATTGGGAATATGTATTATTATATTTATTTATACATCTTCTCCAAAGAATCATCAATGGATTACTTGAAATTCATAATTTGATCTAAAATGTTTTTATAATAGTTGAGTCTTGCTTGATTCTCTTTAGATTTGAT